GCCTCCTCTTCCTGTTGCTTGCCTCCCTCGTCCCATCCCCTCCTGCTGGGACACCCACCCCCCGGTGGTCCCCAAGTGGCCTTCTTTCCCCCGCACCAAGCCTGTGGCCCTTGATTCCTGGCCCCATCCCCCTTGCTGTGGTCAGTGTGCGCTTCTGGCACAGGGGCCTGTCTCGTACAGGTGTTGCTGTGCCAGGGCAGAGCCAGAGCCAGAGCCTGAGCAGGGATGTGGGCACCAACCCTCTGCTTGGCAGCCCAGCTCCTCACGGCTGGGTTGGCAGACAGGGCCAGTTAGCGCTCAGCCTGCTACCCAGACACGCTCGTCAATAGGGAGCCGTGAGCCGGCCTGGTGCTAAGTCAGGGCTGGTCACATTTTCAGAGGTGTGGGAAATGATGATGGGGAGGGCTCAGTTCTACAGAGCCGACTGGGGTGGCTGGTACAGTGGGCTCATGAGAACAGCATGCACTTTAATACAGCCAAGTGCAAGGTCATCAAAAGATGTAGGTCATGCATAAGGCAAGGCCACATCCAGGAATGCAGCGGCACTGGCAAAGTCTTGCAGGTCACGGTGCAAACCAACTGAACGCGAGCTCCCTGTGGGACACTCTGGTAAGAGAAAGGACATGATCCTGCAATGCAGAGTGAGGAGCAGGGAGGTGGTGTTACCTTTGTATACAGCATTAGCGAGACCATCACAGGACACGGCCTCCAGTTCCAGTGCCCATGCTCCAGAAGGGATGTGGACCACTAGGCAAGGGATGAGAGAAGAGCTACAGGAACATGAGGTCTAGCAAACCAGCTCTGCAGCACGACACTGAAGCAGCTCAATCCAAGGGCAGGCTAAGGGGTGAATTGGCCTTGTTTGCAAGTTCACATCCCAGAGTCCAACTGCTCCCTCCTGAAATGACGCAGCAGAGAGCAGGAAAGTCCCCACTGACTGACTGACTGGCAGCACTGGTGCTGCGAGCGATGTAGCTCGTGGGGCTGGCAGGTGACCTGGCTGCCAGGACACACTCCCTGCTAATACAGAGCCTGGGGCAGGGATGGAGCCAGGTGCATTGGGGGCACCAATGGTGGTGACATTCCCAGGTGGCACCAGGAAGGGCTGCGGCCCTACAGAGGGCAAAGACAAACTCCGGGGCTCCAGGGCCAGACACGCAGGCCAGACACAGCTTGGGCAAGGCAGCTGGAGAATCCTTAGAAGCTCTGTCAGTCCCTCTCCAGTGGCCAGGCTGCCCACTGCCCGGGGGCCACGTAAAGGCCCCAGCAGAGTCCTACCTGCACTGAAGCCCTGCCTACGGTTCGCCGCAGTCGCCCTCCTTCATTCCACTTGTCCACAACGGGCTTGCAGCCCCAGCCAGCCCAGCCTCCGCAGGGGGGCCACAGCCGGGTCAGGTGCTCAAACAGTTCCGGTCTCTCCTGCCGACTGGAGGGCCTGGTGTGAAGAGTGACTGACAGCCACGTCTGCGCTCTCCAAGTAACGCCAAGGCCGGGGGGCGCCCGTGCTATCTCACCCTCCACGTCCCTCCTCTCTGGGGAGCTGAGCAGAGGTCAGTGCTGCAGCTGGGCCTCTGGGGCAGGGAGTTTGGTAATCCCAGTGCCAGTCAGAGCCAGGGGCACCGTTCTGCCCACTACAGACACGAGTCCGTGTGCACACGAGGGGTGGGGCCTGGCACCAGCCCCTGCACCCATGGCGAACAGAGGCAGTGCAGGGGAGAAAGTGCGGCCAAGGCAATCCTGTGGAAACAGGGTATTTCTGGGGGCTCCCAAGCTTGTGTTGGGGACAGGGCCAAGCCCACAGCCCTGGAACGGGGCAGGACACAAGCCGCTGCCCTGGCATTATCACAGGGATGTCTGGCTGCCAGGGTCTAGCCTGGTGCTCACAGTAAAACCACCTCACTTCTGATCCTCACCCTGTCCGTGAGCTGCCTCATCCGAAGGGAGCATGCAGGGACATGCCCCCGCCGGAGCCCTGGCTGGGAAACTTGCTGCAGAAATACCGCTGGTTAAAGATTAATTCAGTCCCCTCCAGATTGTGGAAACAAAGCTGCTCTGGGCTCTTCTGGGCATCTCACGGCTACTGGCGCCTAAACAGCCAAAGCAGCATATGCTTCCTCCTCTAGCTGCTGTAGAACTGGGCCCTGTCCTGTGGGGCAGAGCCTGGCCCCAGGGACCCCCTGCACGGCTGACCCCAGGCTCCGCAATCTCTTAGCTAAGCACAAGGCCCCGTGGCCCGAGAAAGCTCCACCTGGTGAAACACAAGCACACAGGGCTCCAGGAGCACGTCCCCACAGGGCCCTGCTCTCTGCCTGAGCTCCCCACTGCATACAGAGCCCGGCTCTGGGCCTCTGGCCTGCTGCCAAGCTCCCAAGGTATCTGGGTGCCCAAGAGATGCCTGTGGCCACGATGACAGCCACATCACCAGGACAATGAACTGGTTGCCCCATGGGGGACAGCTGGGGGCTCATGAGAACAGGAGACAGAACTGTCCTGAGAGCCTGCCCTGGCCTCTGGAACTCACTGCCACAGGAGAGGAGACCACTATGCTCCAAAGCTCAGCTCTGTGCCTGAGCTCCCTTGCAAGAGCCCCTCGCTCACGCATGCTGGCTGAGCCTGGGGTACAGCCCCTTTTCCAGCCCCGCTCACAACAGCACTCCCGGCGCATCTCCCTCTCCGGGTGCACTGAGCCACCCGGCTGATCAGGGCAAGAATTCCCATCTAGGAGCCGGCTGCAGCCCCAGGCAAAAGCAATCCCAGCCCAGGAGCCTGTGACCCATTCCGAGGAGAGCCGCTTCCCTGCGCTGTCACAGCTGCAGCAGGTGTGACCAGGTAACAACCATGCGGCCCTATGGAGGTCAGACCCACGGAAAGAGCATGGCAGGCAGGGTGAGGGCAGAGGAGACTGTGGCCCACCAGCGTGGATGGACGGGCGGGGCGGCCGCAGATCCAAGGCAGGTCAGGGTGGGTTGTGTAGTGGGCAATGCTGGGGCAGCTTCAGCCCCACTGGGAGGCAGGGGTCAGGGGCAGTTTTGGCTCCATTTGGGAATGGGGGGGCAGTCATGGCCCCGCCAGGGGCTGGAGGTGTTTCATTAGCAGCTGGTGATGCTGCAGGGAGGCAGGCAGGGCTGAGAAGCCAGTGTTACACACAGCAGCCGAGTTGGGGCCAGGGCACAGCCTGCCCCTTCCCATCAGTGGGGACGGCTCCCATAAACACGGGAGCCCCCGAGCCAGCAGTCTGGATTACCCTCTAAGATACACCTGGCTCCTCTATGCACCCTTCCATTTCCAGAGCTGAAACGAGCTTTCCGAGGACAGGTGAATGCGAGATGCCACCTGCTCCACAGAGGCAGCGACAGGAGGGACTCACCCAGCCGTGAGGATAGAACCCAGGAGTCCTGGCTCCCAGCCCCGCTGCTCTCACCACTAGCCCACACTCCCCTTTCAGAGCCAGGGAGAGAACCCAGGAGTCCTGGCTCCCAGCCCTGCTGCTCTCACCACTAGACCATTCCACCTTGCTTGGTACTGTAACCTCCTCCCCAGCACAAATTCTCTCACTCTGGCCCCTGGCTCAGCAGAGTATAACACGAGGGGCTGGAGCACAGCCCCGGCCTGCGCTGTGAGCTCTGCCCTTCATCTGGAGGCGCAGAGCCCAGCAGGCGGAGCTGGGCCCCCCCTCTCGATGAGGCACCCAGGGGATGGGAGGCCACCAGCCATTCAAGCTGCCGATTTCTGCTCCTTTCCCCGAAGCTGTTGCCGCCCCCTAGAGGTTGGGGAGCTCAGTGCAGCCAGCGTACCTCTGCCCCCTGCAGGCCCCAGTGCCCCCATGGGTACCAGAGCCAGGGAGGAGGGAGGCCCAGGGCACGGCAGGCGAGGGGGATGCCAGCACAGTCCTTGGCTGGCTGGGGCGGGTTCTTTGGGGTCCGCTTGGGGCTCTGAGAACTGCAACAGGCAGCTTGTTTGCAGGAAGTGACCTAGACGGAATGTGCAGATACTTGGACGGCTACAGCCGTCTGCAAACTCCACAGCGAGTTGCTGCCAGCCAGCCCCAGACGGCCACCGGGCACAGCACTGCCAAGTGCTACCGGGCACAGGCTGCTCCATTTGGCTTACCTGGGGGCACGGACCCTGCCCCGCTAGCCACCACTCGCCTTACCAGATGCTGCTGCAGGAGAGGTCTGAACCCACCCAGAGGCAGAACTGGGGGCTGACTCTCTCCTGGAGGATAAAAGGAGCCCCCCACCGCACCCTGTCCTGGGTCCACCCTTCCCTCCCGCCCTCATCACACAGGCTCCTCCAGGAGCTGCAGCAAATTCCAGAGTCGGTGGAAAGTCTGAGTCCCCTTCGGAGGTTTATAAATTACAGCTCAGCAAACAAGCCGCTGGCTGCCAGGAGCCCTCGGCAGCCAACCCAAGGCAGGACAGCTACACAACCCCTGCACTGCACAACAGCCCCCATCTGCACCCCACTCAACAAACCGGCCCTTGTGCTGCAAGAACCCTGTGCAGGCCCAGCAGAGCATACAGTACCCCCAGCAACACAACCACAACACACTGTACACAGTCCTCCTCCCATACACACCATAAGTGACCTGAACTGCACAACCCCAAGCATTATACACCCCTCCCCAGCGCACAACCCCCAGCCCTCACACCCACCCCACAGACCCTCTCCCAGCCGCACAACTCCCCTGCTACACAGCCGCCCCGCAACACACAACTCTGTCCGCACACGTCCCCACTACACAGCACTCCCCCAACTACACAATGCACAAGTCTGCCACACACAGCCCTCAACCAGTACACAAGTCCCATCCCGGCACACACACAATCCACAGCCCCCTCAACACCCCCCGCCGTGAGCTCGGCCGGCCGGGGCGGTGGGGTCCGATACCGCGGCGATGGGCACCCGCACGGGGACGGCAGCGCCTGGCTACGCGGAGCCCGAGCAGCGCCCCCGGCCCGGCCCGGCCCGGCCCGCTCCGCTCCCCCGGCGGCTGTTACCTGGAGCGCCCCTGTCCCGGCCGGGCGGCGCTGCGGGCGAAGGGCTGCGGGGCTGCTTCGCGGGGCCTGCGCTCGCTGCTGGGTGGGGCCAGCTCGGCCCCTCTCCCCGCCCCCGAGCCCTGCGGAGAGCGGCCGCCCGCCAACGCGGGGCCCCCGGGAGGGACCGGCCCACCTCCGCCCCCGCCCGGTCCGCCTCTGGGCGCTGCGGGAACCGGCCTCAACCCCCATCGCCACCGGGAGGGCGCAGGTCGGACCCCGGGTGTGTTGGGGGGCGTCAGCCCCACCGACCCCACAACGGGCAGGGGCCGGGCGTGTTGGGGGGCAGCCCCCAAGCCCTGCCTATGGAATTCCCCTGTGATGGGTCTGGGGGCTCTGCACTTCTGCTTCCGCTGGGGTTTGGGTCTGACTGTCCCTCATCGCTGTAGGGTCCAAGCGCCCCCATCCTGCCGGGGCCCCCTCACCCCAGGAGCATCTGGTAACCAGGGCCCCTCCCAGATGAGGAGGGAGGGTTCAGGCTCCCCACCATGCCAGGCAGGGGTCACAGAAGTGTCCCCCGGGGCCCCAGGTGAGGGGTTGCTCCTGAGAGCTGGCCCCAAGACGCCACAGTGTAAGGGCTGAGGCCTTTTTCTACAGTAAGCCACAGCAGGGCAGCAGCCATGAGCTAAGAAGCAGAAAATCACATCCTCACATTCTATGTAATATCGCTTGAGACGTTCCTGTCCTGATAGCACCCACCATCACCTTCTTAGCACCTACCATCACCTCCTTAGCACCCACCATCACCTTCATAGCACCCACCATCACCTCCTTAGCACCCACCATCACCAGCTAAAGAAACAGATCGTCAGACGTTTAGGGGAAACGTTTGATGCATTTTGTCTGGCAAGGAACCACTTATCAACAGCTGTGATTGTGAAATCCATTGTTTTGCCTTTATGGTCCCCACTTCTCTGTGGTTTGTCTGTATGGTCTCTCTGGTTCTTTGATTGTTTCTGTCTGTTACATAATTAACTTTGCAAGATTTAAATCAACTAAGGTGGTGGGTGTGATAGGGCAAAGAAGTGTTTTGTAATGGGCTAGGATGGGTGAAAAATACAGTTTTGTACGACTTTAGTTTACAATGACTGGTTACGGTACAGCTAAGCAGGACTCAAGTTTCACTATATAAACTGGGGTCCAAAAGGAAGTTCTTTGGGAACCAACTCCAGGACACAGCCCCAAGAACAGACCTGCCAGACCTCAACATCCTTCCTGCCAACTATATTGTGCAGAAGCTGGAGCCCCAGATGACCTGATCCTCACTGGCCATCAGGAAAAGTTTGTCTGCCTTATTGGGAGTGGTGCGCATTGTCCGCTTAGCGTGCATATTCTGTTTAGGTAACGGTTAATAACTAGAAGTTAAGGATATTACTGCTTAAGGCTCTTGCACTGGTAAAAGGCCCCGCAGAAGATTATGCTCTGAGCCTAGGAACTAGGAAAGTATGGGGATGCCTACCCATGGAAGGGTAAAGGTGGGGTGCCCTAGAGTGTGGGGCAGGTAACAACAGGGCTCCCAGTGCCCTCACCCTAGTTTAAATGCTTCTCCCCCTGGGGGTTTTCGAACGGCTGTACCAGTTTGTCTGGGCAAGGGAGTCTCTCTCTCTTCGTTCTGAAAACCCCTGTTCTGTGGCGCTATGTACGTAACAATGAAACTCACTGTCATTCACTGCAACAGGGTCAATCACAGAAGCAACCAAGAGAGACGAGGCCATGTTCCCAGGGTGCCAGGGCCCACTCCTAGCACATGTTGGCCGGTTGCCAAAGCCCTGTGATTCATTACTAGAACTCGAGGGGAGGGAGAACCCAGGGCTGGGATAGCAGGGGGCTGTGGTGGGTCAGGATTGGGGGCACCGGCAGAGCTGGGGCAGGGATCCCAGGGCTGGGGTAGCAGGGGGCTGCAGATCAGGACTGAGGGACAGGATTGGGGACTCTATCCTGGGAAGCAGTGACTGAAAAGGAGTAGCACAGTTAGAACCCATACTCAACGGGGACCCCATCCTGCAAGAAATCTTTCCTGAACCCCCTCTTCTGGCCATCAAACAACCCCTCAGACTCACCAAGCTCATCATCAGAAGCAAGCTCCCTATGGACCAGGACACACCCACTCAAAGCAGCACCAGAACCTGCCATAACAACAGATGCAAAACCAGCAGACACATCTCCTCTGCTATGACGATCAATCCACCCCCAACACACCTTTCAAGATCCATGGGTCCTACACATGCCTATTACAACATGGTGTTCCTCATCCAGTGCACCAAATGCCCCAATAACTACTATGGAGGTGAAATGAGCCAATCAATGGATGACAGATGATGGGTCACTCAGTGATTGCCCTGTTCTGTTCATTCCCTCTGTGACGGAGTCACAGGTCCGATGCTCAGGAACTGCTCTGTATGAAGCCAGCCAGGAC